AAGGATTTGTTTATAGATAAGACATGGGATATGGGAAGAAGAGATCATTTGTTGTATTTTATGAGAAGGTGATAAGTTACTAGATTTGTTTATACTTGTGATGAAGTGGGAAGTCATTTCTTTTTTTTTCTTTTTCTTCACTATATTCTAATTTTTTCTTTCTCTTCTTTTTTCTGCACCTTCTATTTTTCTTTTTATTCTTTTATTTTTTTAGTTTGTATTTTTATTGTTGCAGTTGTAATTTTTAATAAAATTACTATAAAAAAAGAAAGAGTGTGCTTCTGAGTATTTGTAGAATGCCAAGTACTTATGTAGCGGCCAGTCTCTTTGAAAAGAAAAAGAAAAAAATGCTCATAATATAGTTGTCTTGAGTGCAGAGTACAGGCTTAACTCAGCTATCAGTGAGTTCTAACAGGCAGTCCCCTTATCTATCTCTTCCCAATTGCCCTAGTGCCTGTTTGGCCAAAATAAGCTCGTAGGTGCAAAGAGATGATACAATCTACAACACACCTTCTCATTGCCTTAGGCACCCACTCATGATTCCTATCCTCTCTCAGAGCATGTGGAACTGATCTCTAGGCAGTGGCTCAATCAGCCTATCTGCCACCCTTTGTTCTGTAGGACACTTCCACATGCTGATGAGACCTTACTCTTGTACATCCCACACATAGTGCTATTTGGTGTCAGTATGCTTTTACTCTTGGATTAATCCTTTCTTTTCATAGGTCTGCCATAATTCAAGGATTTCCAAGAACATCTCTATATGATAGTTTTAGTCTTCCCAATCTTGGCCTTTGAAAATTAAAAAAAGATCTGAGGCATAAGAATACGTGTTTAGGAAATTCAGACAATTTGTGGCCTTCATAGAAAATAAATATGGAGGAAAGCCTCAAATGTTACATTCTGATAATGGAACAGATTTTGTGAATGGACAGATTCATGAGCAATCTCTTCCCTTTACAATAGAACAAAGTGGATTACCAGAAATAAAGGATCATTCTCTGCTGGGCACATATTAGTTGACTCTGGCCTTGATCAAAGTTCGTGGGGAGAAGCTGTTTTAACAGCTAACTACCTTCAAAACCCTACCACAAAAACCATAGCTGGGCATTCAGTAATTTTTTTTTTTTTGAATGAGACCTGCTGCTACTTAATTACTTGATTTGCTGCTGTTATGTGACTTTTTCCCCCCTTAGTCAAATTACTAATTTAGTAAAGTGAATCTGCAAAGATTCTACAGAAATTGAAGTGAGGAAACTGGAAACATGTTCATCTCAGTAGAAAGTGCTTTCGGGCCTGCCTTTTTGTGTGTTTAGCAGTGAGTTATTGCTAAATGCTTGATGTTTAGTGGCTAAGCCGTCAAAGACATGTGGATAGCTATTTTGATCTAAGCTACTCAAGAGTATGATTAGGGATATATTCTGTTTTCACCAAAAAACAAGCAAAAGTGTTTAGAAAGAAGGTATAATTTTCACCCAGTAATGGGATAGTTAAAACTTTTATAGATAGAGAAGAAGAAATGCTGAAGCATGGACACTTAAGCTCATTTCCTGTCATTTCCAAAATACTGGGTCATGTTCAGACTTAGTCATATTCCTGGTATGAATGCTATATGTTTCTTCTCCTTTCATCTTCCCATTTTAATATATTTTTAATTAAATGTTTTTAAGTTATTATACTATAATATGCAGTAGCCAATGCCATATCTCCTTAGTCTGAACAGTTGAAGTGCATTCTTGCCATTAGCCCCATTCTGTATGGCAAGTTGTTTTCATCCTTTACACTGTAGTCGCAAACAAAATTTAACTAATTTTAACACGTTATTGACTCTCCCACTCTTGTTGTTTTTATAATCATTGCTGATAAAGGTCTTTGAAATATTTTTGCCTTTCAGGCTCGAAGACAGTGGCTACGGACACATAGACAAATTAACATTAACCATTATGCTAATAAGAAGAGTGCAGCAGAAAGTATGTTGGATATTGCTTTGCTCATGGCCAACGCATCCCAGCTGAAAGCTGTAATGGAACAAGGACCTTCCTTCTCATTTTATGTTCCACTGATTGTCCTCATCAGCATCTCACTTGCACTTCAGGTTGGAGTTGGCGTGCTCCTAATATTCCTTGGTATGTATGGCAAAGGAAATTATTGCTTATTTTGTGCCATGGCATTACAGTTTAAGGAGGGTTCTGTTTCCATTTTAATAGAGCCTTATTTTTTAAAAAGTGTTTCATAGCCAGCTCCCCTTTTATAGGCTCAGATTTTTTTTTTTTTTAACTTATTACAGTAGTCCTTTTTAGGTGTTATTTTCCATGTGGATGTAAGTGTGGAAGTGAAAAGTTCGGACATGCCCACCAGTGCATCCTACATGGGTCCGTCCTTAATTCCCAAAGAATTAAAAGGAAGGCTACCATGTATGCACAAACTCGCTTCATGATTTTGAATCCTTTACCACCAGACAATTGGATGACCTACCAAGGGAAACCTATACAGGTGCAGCAGGGTTACTTTTATAGATGTTCATCCTGACATGTGGGGAGTGGATCCAGCCAAGCTCACAGTGATGGAGGCAGAACTATTGGCCAGACTCTCTTAAGAATTTGCTTCTGGGAACAGAAAATCTAGTTATTAGTAAGGACAAAGTTGGCAATGAATCCTTCCTTCTCTTTTGAAAACAGCATTTATTTATATGGCTGCCCATCTCATAGATGTGACTCTGGGCAGCTAACGACATTTTAAAAACCACCCTACAGTGGTCACCAAGAACAAACCCAATAAGCACTTTACAGTAACATCTTATCTCGCAGGCCATCTAACCTCCTGACCCCCATGTCCTGGAGCTCATCCAGGTCCTCTGCAATTTACCAATGGCTGGCAGATCAGGACCAATCTAATCTCTGGGGTATGGTAATGCTTATCAAAGGTAGATACGCATTTGAGAATTGTAGTGTACTACTTATCCCCAGTATACAGGAGGAGAAATGAGTAGAGTCTTATATAAAGGAATATTATATGTATATAGTGTCATATAAAAGTCTTCATATTATGTAATTCTGAGAAATCATTTCTGAGAAATGATCCAGTAGTAATATGTAATAAGTACATAAAGGCTTGTCTCAAAGACCTTTTAGCTTCATGAACAATGTATTTCATAATCTTTAATTTTTCAAGAAAATAATACAAAATTTCTCATGGGAGAAAAAAAAAATCTCCCTATATCTTCCCAATTTTCTTCTGGGATTTCTCATCTGTCTTTTCAAAGTTCAATGTGCATGAATGACCTTGTTTGGTGTATTTCCATAGTTTCTCATATGATAGAATTATTAACTAAAAATTATACTAATCCTTCCTGCTATATCAGGGAGAGCCAGAAACAGAGTAGTCATCATATCAGAAACCTAAGGCTCATGATAGATAGAGATGAATGCAGAGAATAGAGGAATATGGATTTTTCCATCCAAGTCAGTTTTATTGCTTTGAATGGAAGGGAATTAATTCCTCCCAGGCCAAAACAGATGAGATACTGTTTTAGAGCCATAACAAGGAATATTCCCAGCTTCCCTTGACCCATACCTCAACACAGTTCCTTCTACTCTCCAATATTAGAGGTAGTTGGTCTTGGAGCTTTCTGTGCCAGCTAGGAAGAGACCCCCAAAACAGAAGTCTCTCTCCAAGGATAAACATCTTTCTGCATTTGATTATATCCCCTAGATGTTTACCCTGGGACTGTAGAATTGTAATATAATCATCAACTCTATGGGATTGCAGGCTAAAAAATAATCTATTTCCTCAGGGATCATAGATTATCATTCATTTGCTCTGGGAAATTATACATTTGGTAGAAGATTATACATATTAACTTTTGTTTCTGAGAAGCAATTTTTAGCTCAGGAATTGCACAGAAACTTAAGAATGACATTTTTAACCCGATTTATAGACTGAATTATACTTGTCTTCTAACCAAGAAGATTGTTACAAGTATTTTAAGTATACTGTCATTTTCTACATACCGTTTTATACATAATAGTCTTCTTTGGAGTTATACATTAAATAGTATTGTATTAGGAAATCAAAATGAAAAGTAGTCATCTAGTGTTTGGAAGCAGGCAGTAGTAAAGATATAGCTTATATGCCAACAATTTGCAATTATATAACTCAAGAACTTGTGCAAAACAACACTGCTGAATCAGTCTAAAGTCCTTTCAGGTTCAGTGTTCTTGTCCCATATGAGCTCGCCACATGCTAATGGGAAGCCACAAGAAGAGCGTGAATGTGGTTATACTCTCCAACTCATATTTTTCATAACCGGTATAAATTATGTCTCTTATATTGAAGGAAAATATAGCCATCAATTACCTGAAGGTTTTTTTTTTCATTAATTAATCCCATGCATACTTTCGTAAACACATATTATTTTCTCTTTTACCTACTTCTTTTTCCTAAATTGAAATATCTCAAATGTGACATCTCAGTAAACCATTAACTCTGCTTTAAAGTAACCCAGAACTTCTTAGGGAAGAATGGGTCAGTAAAGGAACTGTTTGGCATGCAGTGAAGAATTTGCAGGGCATCTGGAAATAAAATCTTTGGGATTCACTTGGACTTAGATGTCAGCTAGTCAAATAGCTTTGCCTTGCAAGGTTATCTAGGATGTGTTTAAGTTTGTGAGTCCTCACAGAATCCTCTGTGACATCAGGTTGTCCACCTGAGGGCTAGTTTTTCCTGGTTAGTGAAATCCTTCAGGGAGATGACAGGAGGCTAAGTCACAGCAGTGGTGAATGCATTCCTAGGAGAGGGGACAGCCTCTCCTTCTTTGAAAGAGGAAATGGTACACCCATCCTTAACAATCCATCACTCCACCTAGCTGTTTTGGAAAACTAATGGCCACTTTGCAACTTTCTGTTTTTGGGAAGGTTATTAAGTAGGTGGTGGAACTGCTGTTGCAGAGGGCTCTGGACAAAGCAGATGATCTTTTTAAGATTTGATGTTATATTGGCCAGTTGTCTAGTAAATAAGGTATCATTAATTAATTAATTAATTCAATTTCTATAGCCAACCATTTCAAACAAGTGACTCTGGGTGGCAAACAATCATAAAATCAATTAAAATCAATACAAACATAATACAAAACATACATACACATGCGCACATGTATGTACTGTATGTGTGTGTGTGTGTATCAGCCAAGAAAAATTATAACTCTAGATGTTAATATAACCAGGAAACAGGGCCCTTAACACACTTGGGGGCCCAGTCCTGGGCACGTAATCAGGTCTTCAAGGCCTTTCGAAAGGCCAACAGGGTTGAGGCCATCCTAATCTCTGGAGAAAGAATGTTCCAGAGGGCAGGGGCTACAGCAGAGAAGGCACACTTCCTAGTCCCCACCAGCTGACATTACTTGGCTGACAGGACCCAAGAAGAACAGGGACACAGTCCAACTGAGTTCAGTTCTTTTATTGCTTACACAATATAGAGAAAATCTTGCCAGACTAAATCTGTACTATTGCAACAAGTGGATATACCCTGGGAGATTCTAGGGAGTGGCTATTCTAAACTTTTTACACTTCCCACACTCCTGCCCCAGACTGCGTTGTCTCTTGTCTCTCTGTCCTTCCTGGAATGTGCCCCCTCCTTCCTGAGAACCTTGCCCTCTCCTGCATCACCACCACCCCATTTCATAGATGCTTCCATCACAATTTACTACCCATGCAGCTGCATTCTTCACCAATTGAAGCTTCCGAATGCTCTTCAAGGGCAGCCCCATGTAGAGCGCATTGTGGTAATCCAGATAGGAGATCATGAGGACATGAGTGACTTTGAGCAAAGTCTCCTGATCCAGGAATGGACGCAACTGGTGCACAACCTGAAGGTTGGACTGAAACTGACCCTGGAGGAAGGAGGAGGACCAGCGCAACACATGCTGCCCACCCCGAACTCCTGAAGCCAGTCCAGACCAATGGTATCTAAGGCCGCTGAGAGGTCAAGAAAAGCAAGGATGGATGCATTAACCCATTCTGCTCCTGCCAGAGGCCATCCAAGAGTGTGACCAATGCCATCTCAGTCCCATAACCCAGCCTGAATACTGACTGAAAGGGGTCCAGATAATCCACTTCATCCAAAACCCATTGAAGCTGCTGTGTGACCACTTTCTCCACAACCTTCCCTAGAAAGGGGATGTTGGAGTCTGGACAAAAACTGTCCAGACTAGTTGGGTTGAGTGATGGTCCCTTGAGGAGAGGGTGCACCACCATCTCCTTAAGAGCCAGCAGGATCACCCCCTCCCTCAAGGAAGAATTAACCACTGCCCAGACACAATCATGCGTCCTCTCCCAGACAGCCTTGACCAGCCAGGAGGGACACGTATCTAACACCGAAGCAGCCAAACTAACAGCTACAAGAACCCTGTCCACTTCCTCAGGTTCAATGGGATTAAATCCCCACCAGATAACTCTGCAAGACTCAGTCTCTGTAACCTCCACTGGTTCTGCCCTAAGGCTAGAGTCCAACGTAGAGCAAATCTGAGTGACCTCATCCACTAGATGTGCAGCATATTCCTCACAGCAACTCTGCAGGTGAATTCCAGTATTACTCCCTCCAAGGAGGGTCCAGCTCACCTGAAACAGGGCTGCTGGGTGGCTATGTGGGCACAATAAGGGTGGAGAAATAATTACGTTTCACTACACTTACCATCATGAGGTAGACTCTAATAGTGCCTCTAGCTCATGTTCAATTGTCTTTACTCTTTGTCATTCGCCAGTGGTGCTCTAGGCATCTCTTTGCCCTCTTCATCTCCCTCAACTTGTCCATAAACCACAGAGAGCTCCAGGATCTATGACACAGAGAGGCTGCTCAGGCACAATCTGGTCCAGAGCCACAGCCACTCTCCCATTCCAAGCAGCCACCAAGGCTTCAGCCAGACTATGTAGCAGACCTTCCAGAACAACCCCAAGCTCTCTCTGGAACCCAACTGGGTCCATCAGTCATCTGTAACGGGTCATCAGTCATCTGTAACATGTGAAGATAGGCAGAATCACAATCCACAATTTACAGTCTTTCCTACTTGATCAGTCCAATTCCCTAATCCAGTCCTCCCAGTCAGCATCTTCTTGGGTCACAGTGACTTTTG